GTGGAAGATTTAACTTCCGTGGGGACACGTGAGGGTCTTAAGAACATGAGCTCGTCTTCTCCTGAGATGAGAGACAATGAGCACAAAGGAGAGAGGCCTCAGCAGCATCTTTCAGGTTCATAGGTCATGCGCTGGCCACTTCTGCTCTCTGTGGGTCATAACCGTCAGCCACGACTTAACATTGAAGGGCTCTATACAAGAACAGGAACAGCAAGTATCGAAGAAGAGTGAGGCCCATCTCTGAGGCTGGCTGTCACAATTTCATATTGTGCGGGCCCCACAGACAGTCTGAGCATGTCTTCTAAGAAAGCCTTAAAGTGACACTAATGTTGGAGACAGAAATGGCTTAAAGTTATGGTGAGAGTTGGAATCACTAGGAAAGAAGAATGTTAAAGACATGCACAGGACTTTTGCACATTGCAATTGTGGTTCTTAATAATTCACAGCTCCTGTTGGCCATTTCCCATCTGTGCTTTTATTTATAATCCCAGGGATCATAAAATTAATGTGATGGTAGCAATAGATATACTTGCAGATTCATAAATATTTAGCATCAAATGCCTGATATTTTAAACCTAGATTTACATAGGTATTAGATGCAAGTTTTCTTCAAGATGATAAGCACCGTTTTCACTGGAAAAGAGATAAATATGAAACATTAGAATGATAAAGTTTTAAGGCTATAAATATTTTATAAGATTAGGGCAAAACTATTAAAGGCAAATAGATAAACCTTACATTGGTTCACTTGAACCTAAAACATCAGCAGAAAATGTTCAAACCAGAGCAGGCTTATGAAACTAGAGTATATTCACTGACTACTACCATCACAAAACATGTGAGCAAGGCTTCATGCATCTCTAAAGATTAAATTGGTAGTTTTATTAGTTTCCTGCTTCTGTTGCAATATAACAAATGCTACAAGTTTGGCAGACTGAGTCTCACGGTGGGGATCTGGGCATTGCCTAACAGTCTTGTGCTCACACCACCAAGTAGTGTTCAAGACAGTGTTGGGCCACTTTATCATTAGAGGTCTGACGGCAGAAGGTCTCTATCCAAGCTCATTCCGGTTCTCTGAAGTTGGAGTTTGGGGATGCTGAGTTCATACTAGCTTTGGGTTGCAGGCTACCATCAGGTCCCAGAGCCTACCAGCTTCCGGACGTCAGCCACAACTGCTTGCCATGTGAGATTGTCCACCACAGCTTCAATCATCAAGCTGGCAAGGAATACATGTTCATGATACGAAGAATTTTACATAGACTCTGCAGGATACTTTTGGTAGTCGCACCCATCACTTGTCGCCGTACACTACTTGTTCATGAAGCAAGTCACACATATTAGTCACTCAAAGGATGCGAAGTGTTTCCTGAAAACATGAAAAGACATCTCCTCTTAGTAGCAATTATTTTAAAATTGATGATATATTGATGAACATGCATATTGAATAAGAAATAATACAATCCGTTCTTTCTATCTACAACGGAGAATGTCTAATAAACAACAAACATTAAAATCAGAAACTAGATACCAGTCATTACAACAAAACTGCTTGAGGGATCAAGTCAAGAGGCAGCAACTAGCATTTACATATGTTGGACAGTGACCAGAAGTAAACGGGAAGTTGAAAGTGAGAGGTTCTCTCTCTCTCTCTCTATCTCTCTCTCTCTCTCTTTCTGTGTGTGTGTGTGTACGTGTGTGTTCCCATTGCTTAAAAGAAGTCTGGGAATCTTCATAGGCTGGGAACTGACCACAGCCCTTTCCCCATTTCCCCTCTTTTTTTGTCCTTTACTGTAGGAAGAAATCACAAACTGTGGGGCTACTTAAGAGAGCAGTCTCTCTCCCTGGGGGGGGAGGGGCGCAAGGATGGAGGGATGAGGGTCCCTGGGGTGGGAGATGGAGGGATGAGGGTGTTAAGTCAAGGCTGGCACATTCTTTGCTCTGTCCTGAGTGAGTGTCTGAGAATGTTTGTTGGTGTCCCAGCTTTGTTCCTGACTCATCAGCACAGAGGTTCGTGTGTGGATGGAGGAGGTGCATGTCTCTATGGAGACCAGATGTGAGACAGGGTTCCTCAGTGACCTGGAGCACCCAGTTCAGCAGCACTGTCCAGATGATGAGTGCTGGGGAGACCCACTCATGTCTACCTCCCCAGAGCTGGGACTGCAGGCATGTGCCACCACGCTCACCCAAGCTTTTACATGAATGCTGGGAAGGACAACCCTGGTCCGCCATGTCAGAAGACCCAAGACTCCATTTTCAGGACAACCTATTGAAATATAATTCACATAACATAAAATTTACTTCTTTAAAATGTGTAATTTGATAGGTCTTAGTGTACTTAGAGTAAGGCATGCACCATGCTTTCTAGTTTTAGGGCATCTTCAGCACCACCCCGCCCAAGGCATCTCAGTGCTCGGTAGCCCCCTCCATCGTCCTGTTACATCCATAGCTCTTCTTTGGATCTCTGGGAATTTGTCTGCTCCGGACATTTCACATTAAGGGAACCACCTACCATGTCCCACTTTCCTAATTATTTCATTGAGAAAAAAAAAAACAACAAATCATCTCTAACTTATCAGATTTACGGCAACATTTTTTTTCTCTTCTCATTACCTGCCTGCCATAAATACTTTCAGAAACAAGTGTTAGCTCACTGTACCAGGTAGTTTTACCTTAACTTGACACCAGCTGGAGTCATCAGGGAGGAGGGAGCCTCAATCAAGAAAATGCCTCCATAAGATCTGGCTGTCAGGCATTCTCTTAGTGATCTGTGGGGAGGGACCAGCTCATTGCAGCGGTGCCATCCTGGGGAGGTGGTCCTGGGTCTGTAAGAAAGCAGGCTGAGTGAGCCACCAGGAGCAAGCCAGTAAGCAGCACCCCGCCATGGCCTCTGCATCAGTTCCTGCCTCCAGGTTCCTCTTACGTGGCTTTTCCTAATGAACTGTTATATGGAACTGTGGGTGAAATGACCCCTTTCCTACCTACGTTGCTTTTGGTCCTGGTGTTTCATCACAGCAATAGGGCTCTTGCTAAGGGGCTCATGCTGAACACAGTGATGTTTTGCATATTTGTAAACGTCCTGACAGCAATTTGACTTCCCAGGACAGTGAAGGCAGAACCATTGCTTGAACTTCCACCGATGCTGAAAGAAACAAGTTAACAATACATTCAACCCCACTGTTGTTGTTTTATCCTCTAATGAAAGAAGAAGAGAAACTGCCTTTTGTGCAAGTTAGCTGTGTTTTAGGAGAAGCGTCTATTTCTCTTTCTGCTGTTGAACTAACACCAAAACATCTTCACATATGTCATGGGGGCGCCAGTAACTTGAGGCAATCCTTTAAATACAATATTTAATGCTGGCTTGCCCAGATGAATAAGTTATGAGTCTAGTTGTGTACTGTTTTATTTAACATGAATTTGAAAATGAATACATTAGTATTTGTGAGAGTAAAGAGCATAAGCTATTCTTGCAGTCCTTATAAAATGTGAACCTTGTGGCTGGTGATATGGCTCAGTGGATAAAGATGTTTTTTTTTGTTTTGTTTTGTTTTGTTTTTTGTTTTTTGTTTTTGTGCAAGCCTGGTTTCCTAGATCAATTCTTGGAACCCACATAAAGGCAGAAGGAGAGGACCAATCCCACAAATTGGTCCTCTGCTCACCATACAAGCCATGGCATGCCTGTCCCCTCACTTTCCACACACACTATGGAAACACATGCATGGACTCAAATAATGAAGGTGACGATGATGATGACAAAAAGACTTTAAAATGCATTTTGAAGTTCAAAAAAAAATCAATGGTACATCATTATAGAAAAGCCTTCGTATAGAACATTAAGAACAAATAGTATTGAGTTTTCCAGTAATAGATTTCATGGTGGGAAAGCTTGTCTTGTCGGCCTTCTTACAATGTGGCCTTCTCAGCAGGCGTTCACACTGTGAACACTTTACGTTTGCAATATTCGGGCGACGCGTTGCCACTTCCCCTTACAGCTGTGCTTCAAAGAGCGAGCTTTCCTCTTTTTCTCTCGGAACGATGAACAATTCACTGTAGCATTGTAGAAGGACTCTGAAATTAGACTACCTTTGTTTGCGGTCAACCTGTGTGCCCAGTACTTCTCTGTACGTCGGTATCTTCAAATACGAAATGAGGCCATCAGTCTCCATGGACCAGACATGCTGTGGAGACTAGTATGTGTAAATCACTCTGTGCTTAAAGCTTGTGTATCAAGCTTGCTAACAGCCAAGGTTGAGGCCTAGGAACCATGTTGGGCAGCAGAGAGAGCACCTAATGACTTGCTTCTGTTCCCTCTCATTCAGTGACTGCGTAATGATAAAACATTCTTTCTTTACTACTTTACTCTTTTTTTGTATATAAAAAATATTTATAAAATATAGGAATACTGCTTTGTAAAAACAATGAAATTTAATCCAAAAACTAGATTACAGATAAGGGCTTAGGAATTCAACTTTTTTTTTCTGTTTTACTGTGTGTGTGTGTGTGTGTGTGTGTGTGTGCGCACACACGTGCGCATGCATTGTGTCAGTGTGTTTGTGTTTAAACACATAAGGATTTCGATTGTGTGGGTATAAGTACTCATGTGTGTGAGTATGTGGGTGCATGTGTGTACATGCTTACACGTATGTGCTCACACATGTGCACACACATATGTGAGCAAGCAAGAAGTATCATTCTCAGTGACCATCCACCTTGAGTTGGTTGGTTTGTTTGGTTGTTTGAGACAGGACTGCACACCAGCCTGGAGCTCACCGATTTGGTTAGGCCTATCTCTGCCTCCCCAGCCCTGACGGTAAATGCGCACCACCGTACCACTGTGCCATGCCTCTTTATCATGGGTTGGCATAGCATACATTCTACCAACACACCATGTCCCAAGACCCAGGAAATGCACACTTTCTGTTTCAAAATTCATTATAAAACAGTGAAAATGAGTTTTTGTATATTCCAGCTTTGTCGGCAGCATTCTTCCTCTTTCCCTGCAGGGATTTCCGGGTGACTTTGGAGACAGAGGCCCTGCCGGTCTGGATGGCAGTCCTGTGAGTACCTTGTGATGGTCCATTCTTACAGTCTAACATCACTCGTGCTCCGTAGCAACTGCATGCGGCATCTTTGTGAGCGTGCTTGCAAACATTACAGCTGTAAAGTTTCCACACCTCTGTGCACACTCTAGTTTACTGTTTTTCAATATGAGATATAACCCAAAGTTGTTTGGCTAAACCTTCATCATGCCAGAAAGTCATTAAAATTAATCACTTTAACCATGTTTGCGTAGCTTAGGTAAACATGACCACAACACTGACCTTCATATGTGAACACACAAGCCATGCTTCTTAGTTCTACATGGAGCAGACTTCCACTTAGGGCTGTTCACGTGTCACTATTCGAGAGTTGTTTTATTACATCCAAAAAGAATGGGGATGGCGTGCTGGGTTTCAGCCCTGCGTGAAAATTGATTCATTTTTTTTCTCCCTCTGGAGAGTCTGACTTACTCTCCAGTCTATGCCACATGCATATTATTTTCATCAGATTTTCAAGAGATTAGAGCCAGTGCAAAAATTTGTGTCATCTAAATTGTGACCAGTTCCTATATTTGTTTATATGTGAGTGAGCATCATAAAGAGCGTAAATATATTTTCTTTTTAAAATTCTCTTTTCAAATTAGCGTTTGTTAGATCACATGGCAGGCTTTGCTAAGGTTTTGCTTGTGTGTAAGCCATGGGGTTCAAAAGAAACGTAGAAGTGAATCAGACTTAGGTTATTTATATTATTAAATATTTGAATAATATTTTGAGAAGACTATTTACCAACTTTTTCTCGCCCATGAGTTTTGGAGAGTAGGGACCTTTTAATTTTAAATGTGATGAAGTGAGCATCATTTAGATTTTAAAATATATGCATTGTGCACTTACAGAGTTCATGTGAATTCATTATTTAATTACTTGCCAATTTTATGGCCATGGAACCTATTAAAACTGGACTCAGCATCTTTAAAACATGCTTTGCAAAATATGTTCTTTATTTAAAATACATCATAATTCTTACTGAATATAATTTAAACCTTTAAATACAAAAACAAACTTGATGTTTTTAGTTTGGCTTATAGTTTTTATTTTTTTTTTCAATATTCACCATGTCTGTGTTTCAAAACATAAATCAAAGACTGTGCAGAGAGAGGTCACTCCTTTCCCTCATTCCTGTAAATTTGATGATACATAATTTTATGATTTTTGTAATAATGAAAGCAGATATTATTTTGTTTTCTCCATAAACCAAAGGTAGAGATTTAAAACAATCTACTTTAAAAGATATGGTTTTTTTGAAGCTGTCTGAAAACACCCTCTAGCCTCTATGCACTGACTGCCTGTCTTTTCATACAGCATACAGGCCAGTTGTTCTGTAATGTCGATTACCGGTTGCATTATCATTTTCATTAAGTACTTATAACCTAGAGGATAGTTCTAACATCCCAAAGCACCTTTGAAGGAATAAAAATAATTTATGCTTTTCAATGGAAGATGATTCTGACATATAGGTTCCTGGAAATGTGTACCATCATTTCAGAAAACCCCTCAACAGCTTGGAACCCTAATGCACACACTTTGCACACTTCTTTCGTAACAGGGGCTTGTAGGTGGCATTGGACCCCCTGGATTTCCTGGCATTAGGGTGAGTACCACTAATCATCATTCTCATGAAATAGTTTATCGTGCAATTTAAATTGTTAGATGTGCTTTAAAAAAAACTTAGCCAAACGAGTTTTTATGTCATTGCGGGATATCAACTCAGCTTAAATGTATTTTTCGAGCATATATGAGAACTAGACTTCTAGTATAAATCAAGAATGTAGCTGCTGCTTTTGTGATAAGCTACAATGGCTTTCTTCTACAGATTAATGTATGTATGCATGGACACACTTATAACTGTCTTCGTAAAAAGCACTAGAGAGCTCAGTTTCTTCAAAGGTGTAACATAGAAAGCAACTTCCTCCTCCTTTGAGAATCATCTTTATCACCCAGTTGGGAACCAACAGATTCGAATGCTCTGCCTACTTCTGTTTTACCACGCTGAGTATGGTAGGCATGGCTGAAATGTCCAGAACTCAGCCATTTATGTAATATATTCATATGAACCTTTCTACAATGTATTAATAATGTACTAATATTAACATGAATTGCAGATGGCTCCTTTGTCTAATATAATAACATGTGCTTTTGGTCTCTTTCTTTGACTCAGAAGTCCTTCGCGGTCTATAGCTTTGTGGTTCCTCTTTGCCCTCACGCTATAGTCCAGGCATCCTCAGCTAAGGTCCCATGCGTCTTCTGTCTGTCCATCTTCTCCCAGAGATGAGTGCCGTGGGTAGGGGATAGCAGAAGACCTCTGGGTTACCTTGATAAGCTGAAACTCTCACAAAGCCATCATGTATTGCTTTCAGAAGTCTGCGACTTTTCAGGACAAGAATTTGCCCCACAGTTTCTAGTGTGTAAATAAAATGGTTCCGTATTTACAACTCAATTTTTACCATATACTCTTCTATTTTAGTAAGTTCTTTATAGTATTTTTTTATATCTTCTGATCCTAGAGATGTTTCTTTTGGAATCATAAAACAAGATACCATACATTCATCTCACATTGCCAGTTTAAGCATTTTGAGACAAACCAAACTAAGACAAAATTTAAGAATGTCATATTGTCCATGAAAAAATAGCACAAAGAAAGACTTTATTAGCAGAATGTCTCTCTGTCATCAGATGGATTATTTCTAAACAAGCTCAAACACAGAAATTTATTGTGGTTTTGAACTTAACATAAGCTTTAAAGCTATGAACTTTGAATAAACCTGCCACTGTAGTCACATGAATGGCTGTTTCCTATTGACCGAGTTTGAAACTGCAGGAGTGATGTGTTGCCCTTGAATATTTATTAAGCTGGAAAGTATTACTGTTTGCTACTAACAGTCCCATATATTTCAGGATTAAACACGTTAGGAATAATTTGTCTCCATTATCCCTCACAAACTTTAAGACACTTCCAAAAGTACTACTGTTGTATTTTCCATTCTGAAATTTGTATCATGTAAATAAATGCAGATGACTGCCCATACAGTAGCGAAATGTTGGCAACTAGAAGTCTAGAAATTGCTGTATAAAATGAAAATGTATTTTAAAGTTAATTTCTTCAATATCAATTCCAAATTTTATCCGAAAACAGTCATGTCACACTTTAGGTAAAGTCTGGGGAGGGGGTAGAAAATGGCACCTGCGTCTGCTCTCAGCTAGCATATACATGAAGAAACTGTGGGCATTTGGTGCTGGTCACTGTGCTTCAAAGAGCCGGAGTGTGCCACAAGGAATAGCATAGTCAGAGAAAAAAAAAAACCCAACCACCCTGGCCAAGTGTAGGGTGTAAAGGGAAGGAGGGAAACACAGAGTGGGGATCTGGATGTGAAGAACATTCCTAACAGAGAGCACCTGGGATGCTAGCTCAGCAATTTGAATTCCAGCTGAACTGAATGACATTTTTGGAATCTCACAAACAGAACTTAGGCTGTTGTTTTGCTTTCAGAGACATAGTTTCTCTGTTTGAGAGTCCCGGGAGCTAACAAGCCCACTGTATATCTAAGGCAGGCCCCAGCTCATGAGGGCTGGTGTTACTGGGCTCAGCTACTACACCCAGCTCTGAATTTTTGTTATTTGCTGCTTTTGAGCTGGCATCTCCCTATGTTGCTGTGTTGCCTGGGCTGATCTTGATTTTCCCAATCCTCCTGTCTCATTTATCAGAGTAGCTGGAGGTATAGCATGTGCCAGACATGGCCACATACAAAACTTTAAGATCCTTACCATTTGGAAGCTGTAGAGAGGGGATTGAACCCAAGTGATCATCAGGATGGAGAGTGACATAGAAGCCAGGACAGAGTTAATGAGAGAAAGAAGGAAATTGAGGTCTCAGCAACAGAAACTAGACCTGCTCTTCAGACCATCAAGAGATTTCCATTTTTAATGGAAAATCTTTCAATAGTTTTTAATAGTTTTTCAATAACACATTATTACTTATTATTGACCTTTGTTTTCCACAATGACATATTGAAAGAGGCTTTCTAAGTCTCTAACTTATAGGAAATGATAGTTTTGGTTCTGTTTTTGAAAATTTAGAACATTACCTTGAGAACCTTAAGCAGAGATCACGTCTTTTTTATCTTTGTTTCTTTGCCAGTATTAGTGTCTGGTTCAGGCAATGCTCACTAAGTCATAAGTGATGAGTGAATCTGCTCAACCCAGAAAAGCAGAGCTCTTTGGTTCCTACTCACTATGCCCATAAGTTCACTGTGAATCTTCTTGTTCTATACATCATAAATCACAAAACAAAAGCACAGCAATGTTGACGCATAGTAACATCCCAGTAAGTATTAGCTTGTGGGCAGGAAAGATGGCTCAGGGGTTAAGTGTATGTGGTGCTCTTACAGAGAAGTTCCCAAGTTCCCAGCACCCAGGCCAGGCAACTGACATCTGCCTGGAACTCCAGCTCTAAGGGGTCTGACGCCTTCTTCTGCCCTCTGCAGGCACCTGTGCTCATGTGCACATACCCACACATACACACACACATAATAAAATTAACTGTTTCACAATTTTTTGCTAAATAATTAACAAAATAGAAAGCTAAGATAGTTGATTAATATATTTGACTATTTGGACGGAGGGCTTGACACTAAAGCCCTCTACAAAATGTTACTCATCTGAAAAAAAGAAACTCTGCAAGGTGAATGTCATGGACAGGAAGAATGTAAGAGTTCAGTGGCATCTGATTAGAGTAGACTGGAACAGAGCGAGAAGGCTTCGGGGAAAAGGATGGGCTGTCTAGAGTGTAAGAACGGAGTATTGGTTGATGGTTCCAGCCTAACAATGGCAGTAGGGGCTGTCTCTGACTCTGTGGCCTGCCACTGGATTCCTTTCCCCTAGCTGGGTTGCCTTGTCAGGCCCCACTGGGAAAGAATGAGCTTAGGCCTGCTGTGACTTGGGATGCCTGGGTAGGTTGATAGCTCTTGGGGGCCTCTTCTTCTCTGAGAAAAAGGAGAGGAGGGGAAATGGGGGGGAGCTGGGGGCTTTGGGTGCGACTGGAAGGAGAGGAGGGAGGGGGCTGGGATCAGGCTGTAAAGAGATTAAATTAATAAATAAATGAAAGAAAAGAAAAGATAAATCTTAAAAAGAGAATTGAGTATTGTTTTAAAAGAGAATAAAAGTTGTTGAAAATAGGCAAATGCTTTCAGTTCATTTATTTTTTAACTTACCCTAATGGGTGCTTAATTATTTTCTTCTTACCCCTTCTCAGGGAAGTGTTGGTCCCGCAGGACCAATTGGACCTCCAGGAGCTCCTGGCCCAATGGTATGGCTCTATTTGCTTATTGATGGTTCTCTTTAATTTCCCCACAATATCACACAATACCACCTTTTGTATTTTTAGGGCCTTTCAGGAAATAGAGGACCACCTGGAATCAAAGGTGATAAGGTGATTTCCATATTAACATTATCACAGAGATAGTTTCTTACCCTAGTTGGTTATTTTGTTTATGTCATTGGAAATGTTAAATGTTAAATATTTTGTTTTTATTTATAGGGTGTAATTTGAATAGTTTTTCTAAGAAGTGGGGAAAATTGAAAAATTTTTCTTCTATAACAAATACTTGCCTTCCTGTGTATCACCATGCTTTAATTCACTGTCTTTCTGTGAAATTGTGCTTCCTAGGGTGAGCAAGGCATGGCGGGAGAGCCAGGAGAACCTGGGTATCCTGGAGACAAGGTAACTCTTATACCACTCATTCGATAACAGTGAAAAACTAAAAGCATTGATTCAAACAAAATTATTATTTCAACCATGCATTTTGTAAGGCTGTGGTACCAATATGATTTTTGATTCTAAAATACACATTAATATTTTTAGCAGTAGACAAGTAGAAAGTTTTCTTTAAATTAACATTTTCACCTCTAATTTCTTCTTCTAGGGCACCATTGGGTCGCCAGGACCGCCAGGGATAAGAGGAAAGTCAGGACCTTCAGTAGGTTTGAACACTCACTTTGCTTTTTGTGATAAACACGTGCATGCCACAGCTCGAGTCTCGGTGCTTAATGGCGTTAGCAGTTAACGGTGTTACCTTGTAGTGCATTGCACTATTTCTGTAGTCTAAGCTGAGAGAAGCGCATTCTACTTTTGACACACTGACTTAACATTTTGTTTGTAAAGGAAATCATACGAAGTGTGAATAAGGTTTAGTTATGGTGAGGGATGAAAATGGTGAGTTTTACTGACTCATTGTCCATCTTTCTGTACTGTTCTGACAGTTTAACGTCACTGGGGATTCCGTTAGCAGAGAGATGGTTGACCTTTTATGATTTTATCAAACCTTTGAAATATAGGTCTTGAGCTCAGCATAGCTTAGACTCACACTGATTTTATTGAGGGCCGGGGAGATGGCTCAGTAAATAAAGTGTTGGCTGTGTGAACATGAAGACCTAAGGTCAAGGTCAGCCTTGGTGCATGTGTGTTTGTGATCCTCGCTGGGCAGGCCCAGGAAGGTTGGTCCTGGGGCTTGTGTGCCAGCCAGCCTCCTGCTCAGCAAAACCCAGGTCCTAGTGAGGGACCGTGTCCTAAAAACTAAGGTGGAGGGTGGCTAGGAATGATACCCAAGATTGACATCTCCCCCTCCCCAACATGCACGCACACACATGTGCACGCACTCACTTAGTTTTCCATACAAATGCTTACCCATAAGAACACACACATATGATAATGAAAGAAACTTTTTGTTGGTGCCTAAACTCATTTGTGTCTTACTAATACCAAGATATTTGGTCTGAGAAACCTTCAGTAAGGGCAGGAGACTCCTATTTTATGAAAGTTTTTATACAAAATTGGTTGATTTATTAAGAGATAAATTGCCACGCTTGAACATGAAAGTTTGTGCCCACCAAAAGCTTTGTCTGCCCTCGTGGGCATCTCCCTGAGTCCTGGCTTCAGTTTTCTGTCATCTTGGGCTTTACTGGTTGCTATTACTGCGTCCAAGTCGATCTGAGTTATAACATGAAAGAATATTTTCCAGATGTGGGAGCAGCCTGATGTGGAAGTGTGTACATTCTGGAACAGGGAAGGTTTTGTTCAGCAAGTTCAGAAATCAGGGAAAGCTACCCCTCTGAAAGGGTCAGGAGCTCTTCTGCCCCTGAGCTATAGAAAACAAAGACACTTGTGTTTTTAGCATGTGTGTGTGTGTGTGTGTGTCCTGGCCCCCTAACCATTATTATACTAGAAGTTTCTTCATTTATAAACATTCACTTAACACTATGTCATTCTGTAAACTACTTGAAAATTCTTCAAAAAAGTTTTTTTTTAATAGAAAATTGACATCCACAGAAAGCCGACAACTTAAGTTTTGTAAAACAAAATTATTATGGGAAATGAATAAAATTGCTCCGCAATTGTTATTGTTATTATTTTAACATTTGTTTGTCAATCAAATCAAAGGCCTGAGGACATGCTACTTTTTCTTGGGTGCTTCCAGTTATACCTAATTGGTTTTTGCCACTAGAGGGCCCCACGAAACCCACCCCATCACTCTTTAAGAGAGGTACTTACTCCGTGTAGATGTAACACTCATTCACACACTGGTTCAGATGGGTTACAAGTTTGTTTCTGCCATTCGAAAAAGAGCTCTTGCCCAGCTGTCTAGATGCTGGTGTGTGAGTGTTCCTGAGCCCTCCCTCTCACACCGCAGGCCTTCACCCTGGGAAGGCAGCCCTTTGTCGGGAAATAGGTTCCTTCATGTTGCATTCTGCAGTCTGATGTCATCTTAGGCCTATTTTAATCAGAGTCAAAGCTCATGTGGAGGCTTAGAGGAAAATCAGCAAGTTCAGCAGTTTTCTTCTGACAGCAAGAGGGTCTTGACATTCATCTCCCCCGTTGGAGCTGTCATCCCGTGAAGGCGTGGACGCCGTCCCTGGCTTAGGGCTCAGCTCCCCCTTCATCTTCTGGCCTGCTTTACAACTTCAGCATGAAAATCAAAAGTAACTTACAGAGTCCTGAAACCAAGCCCTCAAAATTTAATTCCAGCATCAATGTGATCTGCAGACAAAGCCAAGAGAGGAGCTAGGGCAGGAAATGGACGTTCATCAGGTCTTGTAGGTTAATGTTTATGATCCTTCTGTGTGGACAGCGCAGAGCAGAGATAAGGAAGATTTAGAGGCACCCAGGAATGAAGGTTTTCAGTCCAGGAGAATCGTGATTGCTCCAACAAGCCACTTACAGTAGCAATGAGAACTCTCTGCTGTTGCTTTATCAGCCTGTCTCTGGAGAAACACACACACATATGTACACACACACACACACACACACACACACACACATACACAGAAATATACAAGCATGCACACACATGCACATAGAAGCAAATACATACACATAAGTATATACACACAGGCATTTACACACATGTGAACATACACATATGCACATATGCAACAACTCACACAGGCGTAAACACACATGCACATACACCTGTGTGTGGAGCCTGAATGCAGAGAAGGTGGCTGATGCTCTCAGGCGATGATAGTGTAGAACGGGGGAGCAAGAATCTGGACCCTTACAAATTAAGTCTCAGGGAAGCCATTACAACTTGGTTTGACATAATATATTAACTATTGTAAACTTGCAAAACACCAGTTTCTATTTTTGGTTATATTTATTAAGTTGATACTATATTTTGATTTTTTTTCTTCCCCCTTTAGGGACAACCAGGTGATCCAGGACCCCAGGGACCACCTGGCCCTCCAGGACCAGAGGTAAATCATTGATTAAAGGGTAATACATTTCAAATAAAATATGATGAAAATTAAATTTAACATACAAAATATGCTTTTGTGGGAAACTTGGAAAAGATTCTCTCTGAAGTTTGTCTACGTAAAGCAGTTTAGACTACATTGGCTCCATCAGGAATCCCAAGGAAACAGGAAATTGAGTATGAATTGAAGTTCCTGGGGCCAGAACATTTGCAAGCCTTGAACACTTTTCGTAATGACGGTGGGAACAGAATGGAAATTTATGTTTCATGGGAGCTTGGCCAGGAGGCACCTGTGCATGATCTTTCGAGGCTCCTGGTTGTGACTGGGAGCTTCACGGAGAGTCAGGTGTAGCTCAACCGCTGGTGTATCACATAGCTTAGTATTTGGGAACATTTTTAGAGATGCAAAGTCTGGATTGTCCACATTTCTATTTTGATGAAGTCACAGTTTGCCTCTTCTGCATAGCAATGGGCAATGGTACATAAATAAGAATTGTAAACCAAACTGGACACATAAACTCCACTGAATTAGCAACATGAAATGCTTCCAATTCTTGTTAAATACATATATCATACTCTAGAAAAAATGTAATTATGCTTATAGTAGACGTATCCAGTTTGTTTATATATGCCTGAAAATGTTGACTTTGGCTTCAGGCTTGATAAAGAACCTCTCTCTTTCTTGAAAGCCCTCACGAGCAGAAGCTCTGGGGGTAAAACATTGGGATGTTCTTGAATCATATCATGAATCCCAGGTGTTGTGTGAGATACAGCTCCTGCATTTCAGCCTGTTATTCAGAAATACACCCCAAGCCTAACTCAGAGTAGCAGATACAGAAACAATGCTGAGAATGTAACCTGACTTCCGAATAAGTAAAGAACTAAAAGCTCCTGAGGACATACTCATTATAGACAGATCAAAGATCCAACGTCACATCACATCTGGTTTTGTTACCATAGGAGTGGCAGGGTATGAAATGCAGCGACCAATGCTGCCCTGAGAGGGACTTCTTTTATTTTAGTCTTTCTTCTTTTATTTCAGTTTCTTCTTCAATTTCTTCACTTATTTCAATCAAGTTTAATGGAAACTTTTCTGACATATATAGGACTTGCCTGACTTCTGTCAGTGAAGATGCAGAATCTAATTTAAATGTAATTATTTTTTAAAAATAGTGTTATCCTTAGTCCAAGAACAAATTGTTGAAATTGAAGTTATGAGTGGCATCTGCCTTCTGTGTATGTATGTATGTATGTGTGTGTATGTGTGTGTGTGTGTTGTGGGGTATTCTGTCTCTTGTATCACTATGATTTTAGTCATTATTTTTTTGCATAAAGCATGGCTATGGGTAACAAGTCATGTCTTTCTGTCTTAACTCACCAACCAAAGATCTTCATTTTTCTTGTTTCCTTTAAATTTTTATCATTTTCCATCAACAGTTAAAACACTGTCTTCATTATCTTTCATTCCACATTGCTTATAAAAGGCGCTGGCCTCTAACTACCCTGTTCTTCGTCACCTGCTTTAAACCCTTTCCATAGGCCCAGAGATGTTTTCTGTATGCTCTCAAGAGTTAGCGCAAGCTCGTTTGGAGCAATTTAACAGCTCCAGCGTCTAGCTCATACCCATGTGCTGCACGCGTGACTAGATAGGAGCACCACCTCGTAGCAGACGGTCTGGTCCTTTCTCTCTTACAGTTTTTCCTCTCCCTCTTCTGCCATGTTTCCTGAGCCCCAGGTGTAGGGGTTGTGTTGCAAATGTATCAGTTGGTGATGGGCGCCAAACTGTCAGTTGTTCTGTGCGTGCTGACAAGTTGTAGATTTCTGTGATGGTCTCCACCTCTGCTGAAAAGAAGTTTGTTTTGTTTTTTTTTTGGTAAAGAGTGGGAGCTACACCCACCTGTGAATACAAGGATGGGTAGTTAGAGTACAGTTGGGAATGAGACCCATTATAACGCTAAACTTTAGACTTTTAGTGTAACTGGAGATCGAAGAATTTCAAGAATGTTTACTAGCAAGTCAAAGCTAAAATGGTTTTATGTGCATAATAGACGGATTTCCTCAGGTAAAAGTTCCTAGGTGTCAAGTTCATGTTTATCCTGTAGGCTTTGACCAAAGATTTCTAAGCAGGAAAATTGAGTTTTGGGGTTTAAGGGTTTTTTTTTTTTTCAATATATGCATGAGAACAGAGAAGATGGTTGTAAAGAAGGAGGGGGTTAAGAGACTAATCTTCTTAATTTCTTAGGAGGATCAATATGATAGAGTCAGGGAAAAACAGTGAAGTTCTCTGACCTTATCTGTGAAAGGTAAGGGTGGTTTCAATAGAAACACAGAAAATATAGTTTATAACCTTTGAACCATGCAGTTCAGCTCAGCCAACTTGGGAGGGAGGCCTATAATATAATTTTCATATTTTTGCTTGACCACTTGGGTAAAATGTGGGTCATTATTCCAAAATGGAGACTAAAAGTGGAAGGAGAAAAGGAAGAAGTTCAAGGTGGTTGGAAGTTGGGCCTTAGGTTTTGACCTGTTGGGATTGAAATGCTTGTAGCGCATGCAGAAGAATCTCATAATGATTCTGAGACCATGGTCCCGAGACTCAGAGAGAAGAGCGAGCAAATGCTTACAGCGTGCAAGAGCCAGTAACCATAGGAATCATGTGAAGCAGCTGTGCAGATGAAATCATTTGGGAGAGTTTATGTCTCAAGGTCTGGAAATAACAAACCTGTGTGCGCACCTCCCACAAATCTGTGTTCTTTGTCTGCAGTGCAGTTAGAGGGTTTTGCTTTAATTTTACTTTAATTATGACTGTGTCTGTGTGTGTCTGGGTGAGTATATATGTACATATATGTGCATGTGCCACAGGGGTCAGAGGGCGCAGGATCCCTTGTAGAGGAAGTTATGGGCATTTTATAAGCTGCCCGATGTGGGTGCTGGGATATGAACTCGGTCCACATGCCCTACAATTAAGTTTTACGTTAACGGCCAAAGGCAGTGAAATAAATTTGGGTGACTATCAGACACACTCCTGGGCAATTCATAGTCTAAAAGAAGAAAAAACAATGACAATGAAAATTAGAAAATGTTTAAAATAGGATGAGACCAAATGACAACAAAAACATGTATCACAGTTTAGACGGATTAAGAGCACTGGCTGCTCCTCCAAAGGTTCTGAGTTCAATTCCCAGCAACCACATGGTGGCTCACAACCATCCATAATGAGATCCGGTGCCCTCTTCTGGCATGCAGGCAGGCACAACACTGTTACATAATAAATAAATCTTTAAAGAGAGAGAGAGAGAGAAACTTATTTCTGCAAAGCAAGGCAGATAGATGAGTTATGTAGAGCATCCATGGCGGAAATGGGATCAAAGGGAGAAGGAAGAGAAAGAGCATCAGGATTGGACCAAGGCCTGGGGGCGGGGGGAGAGACCTTGGGGGAGAGGCGGCCTGGGGCATTCTTGGAAGCCTAAGTAGGAGCTGGCTGAAGATCTTGAAGGTGATGCCTGAGTTATATTAAAGCTAAAATTTGAAGACGCTTTTGTACCCCTCACCCTGAGGCTCGGAGATCTTGGGAGCAAAAGGAGGCAGAAAGACTGTAAGCCTAGAGGGGGTGGAGGACTTCGAGGAAACATTTTCCAGATACACCGGGAAAATGCACGTTTGAACTCACGGTGGTGTGACAGAGTGCACAAGGCCTGTCCGAATGGGATCCCAGCGCAGAGGTGGGAAGGTAGAAATGGGATCCCAGTGGCTGTTCGTGTTTACTAGCTGCTGGGAAAGGTGCCGTCTGTGATCTTTAATCATGTGACCACACACCAGGGCAGACCCCAGCCCCGAGACCAGCGGCAACAAAAACTGGACTTGACGGCAAGAGAAGAAAAAGAGGGAGAAATAACCTCAAAGATGAGTGGGAGGATTGAGAGGGTGGTTAGAAGAGGGGCTGAGGGACTGAATACACGCAAATGCATTCTGAGAAATTCTCGGAGAATTGACAAAAATATTATAAAGACGTTTTGCCCAAAACACAGCCACCGAGTGCTGCACATTTGATTGACAGGGGCTTCGGACTCGAATCCAAACATTACCAACCAAAGCCACGGAATATAATTAGTTGTATGAGGTGCCTCTCCCACAGACAGAAATACATTCATCATTTGAAAGAAATATAGCAACTCGAGATTTTAATTCTGTTTCCGTTTTCAGCACAGACTGATGTCACGGCACCAAAGCAGAATTTGGTTACAAAGATACTAAGGAGGGCTAAAATGGTGATATCTAGATATAGAGCTTTGTGACGGCTTTCATTAATTATTTAAGTGATAAAAGATTTAAGTTAACATCTGGAGAAAAAAAAAAAAAGAGTATCTAAGTCAAAAATCAAGGAGTTAGGCTGAGAATCGTGAGCCAATTACCTAAACTCTCTAGACCTTACTTCCAGCTATGGAGTGGGAATATTTATAGCGCTGACTTTGTGCAGTTACTGTATGACACACATTAACAGACACACAGCATGTCAGGGTATGGTCAATGTCAACAGTGGACACTAGCTACCGCACCGCAATGCCTCTGTAGGCAGAAGCTGTTGTCTTGAGTCGGAGAGAGCGAGGAGGAGGGAGGGAGAAGAAAAGCGGAGAGAGAGGGTCAGGATGAGCCAGTTCTGTCTAAGAGCAAAAGTTCCCGGAGCTTCAGCGGTGGCCGTAGCATGGCTTTTCTGATTGGTGTTTTGGGAAAGGATTTTTTTTTTTTTTTTTTTAGTATTTTGAGATAGAGATGGGGTGGCAGGTCATATGCTTGCAATTGCCTGACGAGGCCAGGAGGGGGCGTTGGAACTCTTGGAGTGGGAATTGAGGGTTGTGAGCTCCCCAACATGGGTACAGGGAACCCAACTCAAGAGCTCTGGAAGAGCATCAAGTGTTCCTAATTCCTGAGCTGTGGCTCCAGTCCCTGGCCTGTGCTTCTAGAAGGTCACTTTGGGTTGTATGTCCATCCAAGAAGGAGGAG